ACATACATTACTTTTTGATGTCAAGACAATAAACATACAGCATGAAATTGAGACACATGTACATGTACATTGCACGTACCATCTTCTGCCAGTAGTTGTTCCCAGTCATAAAAGTTTTCACTCACAAACGATCGTCTGTATCTCTCAGCCCAACGGAATAAATCCCTCAATGTCACTAGACCATATTTACCCTCAAATATACCAGAGAGGGACCGACGTTGCTATTGGAAACAAGCCACACCCAGTACATTAAATTTCTATTATTAATATTTTATTTACTTGTAAATCTTTCATGACGGCGACCATCTTCTTAGCATATTTCTCAGGAAGTGAGCACTTCTGGTGTAATATACTAACCAGTTCATTAGGAGGAATATCATCATAGTGTAACTCGATAAAACGATTACGAAATGCTCTTGAGAGTAACTTCCTTCCCCCGTAAACCCCTGGAGGATTCTGTGTACCAAAGAGGAGGAAGTGAGGGTGTGCCTTTACCAGTTGCTGTGTCTCCGTTATATACAACTCACGATTATCATCAAGAACCTATTGTAGGACATATAGTTATAACTTACATATAATAAAAATAAAGTAGATATTAAAAGCATCATAAATACATTATTGTTAAATGGTATAATCCTATTTTCAAGTTAGTATAGTAGTATGAGTGATTCTTACTCTATTTAATGCCTCCAATACATCAGTGGGTGCAAGATTTAGTTCGTCCAGTATCAACCAGTGACCATCTCTCATTGCTTGAACTAACACACCTATTAATGATCAGAAAAAATGAGTATAGAGTAAAATTGTCATTATAGTTCTATTAATATTGATATATTACTATCTCATAAACTACATCAAAGGTACAGACATGCATTAGTTGTATAAACTATTGGTTTGATGGTTAATGGATACCAATGAAGTGCTTGAGAATTCTAAAAGAACAGGTGTGCATCATGGCTAACAACATGTTAACATGCTATAGACATGTTATGGGTATGTCTGTTATAGACATAACAGGCAAGTAGTTGTATAGTGTTCAGACAGAGAGACAGACAGGCTGACCAGTGGTGAGAAAGAGGGAAGCACTATAGGTTGGTGCCAGGTTGCCAGCTGGTATCTTGAAAGAAGTAAACAACTCATTTATCAATGAACTTAAAAAATTGTTATAAAAAGTTTGTTGCACTAAATATTTTCTGTTTCAGACTTGAAATTCAAAATGTCACACTTTTAAATCGCTCTTTTTGCTAGTTGATCTAACAATGCGGTAAAAATGGCACAAGTTATGGCAGAGATAATATTATACTACCCATATTATGTACTCTTGATACTATTATATTAGGTTATGGTTAATAGGTTAAAGCAAGGTGTATCACAGTTTAAAAGAGCTAGGAAGCTTTTATAGACAAAAGTTAAAATTGGAATACAACTAACAAGAGAGGAAGCCATTAAAACTAGACAAGTGGTGGGAAGCAACAATTTAGGTATTATAGGATATATGATGAAATAAAGATGCAAACAACCCATCATTATAAAAGCAGTTCACTGGTCCTACTAGCTCACAAGCTTCTCTCAACTATTGTTCAGCTTTATATTGTCACAATGATACTTTGGCTTATTACAGTTTTTCTTGCCAGCGATTTAGTTGAAGGAGCTAATACTATAAAGTCTCCTAATAGTGAGATTGCTAATCTTACTATTGCTATTAATAAACTATTGACCCAGTTCTCTCATAAGTGTCCAATAACTGACCAGTCTAACAGTCGTGATACTATCAATGATTTGATGCAACTAGTACTAACCAAACAACTACTAACAGTTGATTCCTGCTCCTCTTCGTGTTGTTCATCTCAACCTAATACATGCAACAATGAAGGAATACAGCAAGCTATTGAACAACTAAACAACAGCATTGCATCACAAGCAGAACAGATCTCAATGATTGCTGACAGCTTAGTATCACTCACTGAGGCATGTATTGATCTCAATTGCACTAATGAACATGATCCAGTACTCACCTCATGTGAAGCTATCCACAAGGAATGGCCTAACAAACCTTCTGGATACTACAGAATAGCTGATAGTAATGGAGACATTCAGCATGTGTACTGCAATATGGAGAACTTGTGTAATTTAGAAGGAGGTTGGATGAGAGTAGCTAATCTGAACATGACACAAGCTACTAGCTGTCCTACTGGGTTTAGATTATATACTAATGGAGGAGTTCGTGCTTGTGGTCGTCCTGTCACTAGTAGTGGTAG